AAGTCAGGAGCCCCTGACTGTGCACTTCCCTCTGGGGCTCTTCTAAAGAGAGGGAGGGAGGGCAGGAACCCAGGAGGAAGAGTTTCACCTCCTGTCTTCCCTTTGCTTGAGGGAATCCCTCTGCTGCCATCTCCTCCACTGCAGATCTGTCCCCACCCTCACTGCTAGGGCCCTCACTTCCCACTGAGAGCTGTTCACCCTCCTCCTCTGCTGTACGAGCTCCTTAAACCACACAAGGACGCAACGCATGGTCTCACGTGCACACTGTGGATGCAGAGGTCACGTCGGGAGCGAGCGCCCTCCCGGTCATGCCCTCAATCGCAGAGGTCATACTGCTGTGGTCACTCCTTCCTGCTCTCCCAGTCACCTGTGCCCTCCTCACCTCAACTCCTGATACCGTGATTATAGTGGGTTGTGTCCTCGAAGATATGTCCTTCCTGGCTGTAGCTCCCCTATAACAAGGGGAGGATGGACACCTCTACCTAAGGGCTCCAAGGGGGTCCATGGGCACCAGGCTGCCTCTTGGGCTCTTATGGACTGTGATCATCCCTCCCCGACGTGTTCCCAAAATAACAGGGCTGCTCTGTTTCAATACCCACTTTACTTGGCAACAAGAAGACAGATGGGAGCTGTGGGAAGGAGCAGATGGTGGGGAGACAGGGGAAGGCAGAACACGGGTCTGGCCAAGAGGCCCAGAGTCCAGAGCCAGAACCCAGGGAAGGAAGCTTGAACCCAGCGGCAGGCTTGGAATGCCAACAGCACACAAGCGTCTTGAGACAGACAGCACCACAGCTGCACCCAAGGCTTGGCCGTGGGGGTGTTTCTCAGGCTGGGTCAGTCTCTGGGGGAGGGGAGGGAGGGGACTGGGCATCTGGCTCCTGGTCAGTCGTTCTTGAGCCCTAGGCTCTTGACTGACAGGGTGATGAGCAGCTGGGCTAAGTAGTAGGTGGACATGGTCACCAGGCGGGCATAGGGCAGGGGGTGGACAAAGACATCCCAGGCCAGCATGGCATCAGAAAGCGCGAGGAGCAGAACGCCCCAGCCAGCACTCCCACCCTGGGCCAGGCCACGCCATAGCATGGCGGACACCACCAGCACGTAGACTGCCACTGGCAGGAACATGTCCGGCTCAAGGTACAGCAGAAGCAGGCCGTAGTATACCACAGAGACCAGGATGGTGAGCAGCAGCAGGGCCGGCTGCAGCGGGGAGAGCCCGAAGGCACAGAAATACAGGAAGTGGGCAGCAGCAAAGGCGGTCATACCTGGGGAGGGAGGTGGGTGCCCAGAGAGCTCTTCACCTTCCTCCTCTGCTGTTCTCAGAACCACCCAAGTCCTTCTGTTCTCCCTTGGCCCCACCCAGGCCTGAGAAGATGGTCCCAGGACCAGCTCCCACCCTGGCCATGCCGTGGCTGCCTGCTGGGATGACAGGGCCACCTCCTCAGTGGCTCCCCAACTTCTCCCTGCCTTGGCTACTCTGTCAGTTCTCAAAGCAGCAGGAGCAATCTTCACTCTTGAATGTAGCCTGGGCTGCATCCTTGCTGTCTCACTCTCCACCTCCTCCCCATTCTGCTCTGGAATACCCACACCCTCTGCCCATCACTGCTCTGCTCATCACCCTGGCTCAAGTAGACAAAGGGCCTGGTGTGCCACTACCCCAGGGCCTTTGCACCAGCTAGTTCCTTGCTCAGAACATGTTCCCCAACACATGCACGGGGCACCTCCTTCAAGAATGCCTACTGGTCACTCCCTCAGTAAAACCTTCTTCAACCACCTCTTTTTCCTCCACGCCACTTCCGCCTTCTAAGTGCACACTGTCTGACCCCACCCCTCCAAAGCTGCACCCCCCTATTCCCATCTGACCCTATGTGCAGTGGTCCTCGCAGCCTTGCTGCACTGCAGGGTGGCGTCCCAGCACCAACTCAACTCCCCCGCAAGGGCTCCAGATACAGCATCACCAGGTCCCCGCTCACCATGAAGGAAGGCCTCGGGCCAGATGAGGCAGGCGTTCCCCACAGCCGAGCACACAAGGCCTCCCTGGAGAAGCCAGGCGTAGCTCCCGCCAGAGGTCAGGGCCCATGGGTACACCACCAGGGAGAGCACAGGCAGGCTCTTGACCAGGGCGCTGACCCAGGTCGACTGGCTCTCAGGAATCCAGAGGAGGAAGTAGATGGAACAGGTGACAATGAAGGGGCTCAGCCATCTGCGGGCCTGCTGGTGCTTCAGAGAGGACAGCACCGAACTCGCATTCAGCCCTCAGTCCAGCTCTAGCCCCCAAAGGGGCCAGGCCTGACCAGGCTGAGACAGATCTCCCAGCTTCCCTACTTCACCCCCACTCCAGGCCAGAGCTGTCCCAGCGGGACCTATTCAGGGACCAGGATTTTCTGTCTCCTGGGCAGGCAGAGGACCCCAGGCCCTTCCCCAGGCCCTGCCCCAGGCCCATGCCTCTGCAGGCCCTCACTTGGACTAGGAGCGTCTTCAGGAGCAGCACTTCCTTCCCACTCTCCATGCAGGTACGATGCCAGAGTCCCCTGTACCTGGAAGCTGGTAGGTCAGGGTAAGGAGGAAAGAGGTCATGGTTACACATTAACCCAAAGAGCGTCCTGTGGATGCTGGGACTGATAACAGCACCCAGAGAGAAACTGCTCCCCCTGAGGAGTTGCCCTTGCTTGATGCCCTCTAATAAGGTGCCCATCGGGACCCAAGGGTCCCTCCGTCTTCACAGCCCTTGCCCAGCACACACGAACCTGGCCTAGTTTCTTCTGCCTGGGGGGTGAGGCCCACAAGTACCCTTCCCATTGTCCTGTGCCCAGCCAATCAGAAGGGGCAGCTCAGGATTCCAATGGAGTGGGCCAGCCAGGGAGGGTGGGAAGGTAGTGGGAAGGGGCCTTCCTGCTCCATTCCCTGCCAAGCACTGGCTGAATGAAGGTGCAGTGAGGATGCTGTCCTTGTGCCCAGTGCAGGGGTCACTGCAGCAGTTTGCCAGGATACTTACCCCCTGCATGCAGTGCTCACTCTTCAGCCTTCCCATCTGGAAGATGGGGACTGCCACAGGGACCAAGGGGCTCAGGGAATTGCGGGGGTGGTGATGGTGGTGTCATGTGCCTCATTGGAAACCCACTCACCCGTAACATGGCTCACTGCTTCCCACCAGGGATGAGCGTAGGATTCCAACTTCCCTCCTTCCACCAGCAAGAACCTGAGGCCTCCAGAGCCCAGGGCTCCCCAGCTACCCCAAGTCCCTAGCAGTGCAGGGAAGGTGGATCTGGCTGGGAGGCAGACTCAGCAGTGCCCCACCGAGCCTACACATGCAGGCCAGGTACACTTCGGGATGTCAAATGCAGATGTGCTGTGAGGGTGTGGATCCATGTAGATTGGGGACGGGCAGATTTCCTCCTGGAAATCTCTGCCTCAGCTGGGTGGGTCACCGCCCCACCAAGGACCATGTCCCACAAGGTTCACAGCCTCAGAGGGGAAGCTGCTCTCCACCCCACATTCCAGAACTCAAGGTCTGACCATCAAGAATCGTAAACAGTCTTCCTTTATTTATATTTGCAATATGAAATAGAAGCTCAGCACGAACACTCGCACACTCACGCCAGGCTGGGGGAGGGGGGACAAGGCCACATGGCAGCAGGGCTGGGACCCCAGGCCCCTGGGCAAGGGGGCCCAGCCAAACTGATTCAGGGCCCCTGGGGATGTTGCCAGGGAGGCCCCACTCCCCAGGGCCAGGCGCCTGGGTGAAAGTGCAGGGTCTGAGCGAAGGCACGGCCCTCCTCGGGCCCGACACCCTCGCAGGCTTTCCCCCAAGGTGGACCTGAGCTGAAAGGCTGGATGTGGGCATGGGCACGGGCATCGGCACCGGAACACAGAACACAGAACTGGGGCACAGCAGCGGCCTCAGGACCCCAGAGCCAGCCCCCACCAGGACAGACAGGGAGGGTGTGCTTCGGAGCCACGGGCCCTACGCGGCATCCCAGCTTCTTCTCTCCTTCTCAGTATATATATAATATATAATATATGTCTCTCTTTCTTCCTTCTTTCCACATGACTCTCTATCTTTATTCTAGGAGACAAAGCTCCGTAATTTCTCTTCTCAGTGCAAATGGGGGTGGATGGGGGCTTGTCTCCCTGGCACCAGCCTCCTGGGAATCCAGAGGAGAGAATGTGAGGGAAGTGGGTGACAGGAGCAGGGGGCATCTTGGGACCCACCCTGCCCCACTGGGGTCCACGGAAAGGACGGAGGATCTGGCCGCCACCACCACCAGGCAGTTACCTGGGAGGAGAGGAGACACAACATGAGGGTCCAGGAGCCCTGTCCCTCCCACCTGCCCCAGGCTGTAGCCACACTCACTGGGAGCCCGGGGAGATGGGCCCTCCAGGGGCAGAGCCGTTGGGCACTGGAGGAGGCTCAAGGGCCTGGGCACTGTCAGAGAAGAGAAGGGACCCAGAGGTCACAGCCTGCCTCCCAGCTTGCCCCACTCCAGCCTCTCCTCCAAGGGAGGCCTTCTCACTGCTCACCTCTGGCCTGGGGGGAGCTCCACGGGCCCTGGGCTCTTCTCCCACTCCGTGGTCTTGGGGGGCTGGTGGGCCCCGGAGGCCGGGATGGAGGTAGAGGGGTCTCTGGTGGCACTGTAAGCAAGACCAATGAGGCAGTCAGCGGACAGCCTCACTTGTTACCATAATCCACCCAAGACTGCCCATCACTCCCAGAGAGGCCTTACTGAGGATCATGACCGGACACCAGCTAGATGCTTGGTAGCTTCGTGGATGCCCATGAGGATAGAGATGGCAGAGTAGAGTGGGACCAAACAGCCCAGGCAGGGGAAGGGGCAGGCAAGCGGAGCCCACTTTGTACCCCACATCAGCTGCACCAGATACCCTGTGCAGGAGGTGCTTCCCACCCACATAGGTCCTGTGCACATCAGCTTCTGAAGACCCCTTACACCCTCCAGGAAGCCTTTCTCTGCCCCTGGGGCTACAAGGACCCTCAAGCCTACTCCTGCTCTATGTATATTTACTTAAAAAAAAGAAAAAGCCACAGGGAATGCAAGGAAAGGCTCAGCAACCAGGAGCAGCCCAGAGACAAGACAGCCACACCCATCTCTACAAGAACATAAGGCTGCCCCCGCCTCCCAGCAACCAGACCAACGCCCCTTTACCTGTCCAAGTTGCTGGGGGTGGCGTGCATCCCATGCAGGGTGGCCTGGAGGCCCTCGATGCTAACCAAGGCCTGGCAAGGGGCTGTGAAGGAGACAGAGCAGGTATCAGCTGCTGCCTCCAGCAGCTTCAGACACAGCCAGGCTTAGACCCCAGGAACCCAAGTGGGCAGGCTCACCAGAGGACTCTGTCACTTTGCTATCATCTGTGACTTCCTGAGGTGCTGAGGTGGGCGTGGGGTCCTGAGACCTAGGAGGTAAGAGAAGAGCCCGAAGGTGTGGCTGGGGTCAACACCCAAGCCTAGGGAGAGGACCCAGGAATGTCAGTCTCATGTCTACTTGCCCCACCTGCCCTCACCTGAGCTGCAGGGCACTGAGGGCTGAAGGACTGGTCAGGCTCTGGGTGGGCGGCATGTCAAGGGGCCCTGCAGGTGCTGCAGGCCCAGAGTGTAGCTCCTCCTCCCCAGAGACTTGGGGGTCCATTGGGGCATCAATAGGCACTGGGTCAAAGGTGGCGGTCCAGCTCGGTCCTGGGGCAGGGGCCAGGGAACGGGGGCAGGGGCCAGGGAACGGAGACAAAGGTGAGCTAGCAGCACATACCCCAGGTGTACCCGATCACCCCACCACCTAACACTCACCAGGAGGCAGAGAGCCAGCTGTGGGGTAGGAAGTGGGGTCAACCCGAACATGTGCTGCCCTGCCATCAGCCTCCTCCTCCTCTTCCTCCTCTTCCTCCTCGTCCTCACTGTCTGTGCTGCCTCCACTCCTGCCCCCGACACCACTTCATCAGGTGGCCATGCAAGGACAGCCCACTGACCCACTTCCCCACTGCAGCCCAGGGCCACAGGGTAGACAGACATTGACAAAAGAAAATAGGCAGAGGAGGACTTTGGGAAGCCACTGACAAGGAGGTCCTAGAGCCTGGGGACAGGGATTCCTGCATGTGCTGAACAGAGCAGTAAAGACAGTCATCCCCATCTGTCCTCCAAGGAAGGACAGGCATCCAGGAAATATAGACTCAGACACAGCAGAAGGACACACAGACAGAGGCCAGCTCCTGAGTGCCCACTGGACATCGCCAGCATCATCATCCCCTAGCAGGCCTCCCCACCCAGAGCCTCCACTCAACAGAAGGGTCCACTCTCTTCCTCTACTGGCCCCAGGCACATCAGACACAGGATGTTCAACCTGCACCAGAGTCACATAGTGGTCTACAGCAGGACATCAAGGTCATGGCCAGCAGAGGGTACCCCAGGAAATGAAAGGCCCAGCTCCCAGATAAGGTACTGACAAAGGGGAGTCCCTGTAGCTGTACTCTTGGGGTGCTACATTTATCTATATGCATGACACATATATCATTAAAAAGGTAACATCATTAAAAAGGTGTGGTGGCACTTGGAAGGTGAGGGAGGCTGAACAGGGAGACACCAAAATCAAGGCAAACTAGAGCAACTTAGGGAGACCCTGTCTCAAATAAAAAGGACTAGGAATGTGTCTCAGTGGTAGCATGCCCCTGGGTTCAAGCCCCATTACTACCAAAAAAAAAAAAGAAAAGTTAACATAAAACACTCTAATCTGCAAATCAAGTCACCAGGCAGCCCACACAGTCACAGCCCAGTGACCTGGTGTTCATGCTGGCAAAATATACACAGCATGAATCCATTTAACCAAAGAACAAAAATTAACATGATATTCACCCAAGGCTGATCACAACCTAATTCCAGCTTTGTGGAATAAGGAAAAAGGGACCCTTTACCCCTGTACAGGAAACGTGCCTAAGAGCTCATATGGGAGCAGCCATGTGATGGAGGGAGGACCATCTGCACTTCTAGTCTGTCCTTTTCCTTCTGTAGCTCAACTCATTTGGTCTGGGTTTCTATCACTCAAAATTCAAAGTGCCCTAACTAGTACACACACCACTACTACTCCTTCCTGAGTTCTCACTCGGCCAGGAACTCACCGGACTCCAGGGGGTTGGCCCAAGCGGGCTGTCCTCACAAGCTGGCTGCCCTGCCAAGCACCATACTCTCCATCCGACTCCCCAGAACCCGGGCCCTCGTCCTCATCCTCTTCCTCCTCCTCATCATCATCAAACTGCTGGATGCGGTCCTTATAGCATATCTCGAGCAGGTTGGCATTGGGCTAGAGGTACAGGGTAGGAAGATGACTCCTCTGCCCACAGTGCCCTCACATCCCTCCACCCCACTGTCCAGGACAGGCAACCACTCACGTTCTCATCATCCGCATGGAGGGAGAAGGTGATGTTGGCTGTCTTGTCAAAAGGCGCGCTAGAAAAGGAGGTAGGGGTGGGTGAGAGGGCGCCTTGGGGTCCACGTTCCCTTCACTCACTGAAGTGGTGAGCCCACCCTCACCACTCCGACTCCCATCTGCTCCCCAAACCTGCAGCACATGACAGTCGGCTGAGAGAGTAGGGACAAACCAAGCCACCTGACACACACACATTCCCGGCAGGTCCATAAGCCATGCTGGGCCATCACCAGCCCTGTGCCACATGTTGCTCACACACTGGTCATAGCCACCCTTCAAGGGAGTGTCCCGATCTCCTCTCAAAGCACAAGGCAACAAGCTAAGGCACACAGCGGGCCCAGAGTGGGGCAGCCCAGATGTCCACTCCGCACCGGCCACCTCTTAGCTGACTTGACATCTCCTGCAACAGGAACCCTGCAGGGTAGCATATTCATCCCCAAAATTCTGTATCCATTCATTTTCCCTCCCGGAACACTTCGTGGGTTTGTTCTTCAGTTTTTTCATGTAATTTATCTTGGTAGAGGAGAAGGTAACAGCTTTGTTGCCCTTTATTTATTTATTTATTTATTTATTTTTGGAGAAAGGGTATGAGGTGCCCAGGTTGGCCTTGGACTTGAAATCCTCCTGCCTCAGCCTCCTAGGTCATAGGGATTAAGGTATGCACCACAATGCCTGGCTCACAGCTTTGTCTCACAGGGAAGCTAGTCATTCAATGTCATCCACTGAGTAGTCAGTCCATCCTCCCACCACGGTGGAGTCAGATCTGTACTTGGGTGACATCCACAAGGCTTCCAGAGCACCGTCAGTGGTGATGGCGATGCTGACCCAGCCTCCCTCATGCCACCCCTCTCCATCTGCACCCCATGCATGACAGCAGGGAGTCTCTTGTCCTTCCCCCTGGGGCAGCACCCTTCTAGTTTTCCCAGTGATGTGGTGAACTTGCTCTTCCATAAACTTCTCACTGAGACAACGCATCAGCCTCCGTGCTGGCCCAGGGGTGGGGACCTCACCTGCTGGCCTTCAGCACGGGGAGGGGAGACTGCAGAGCCTCAGTCTAATAGAAGATGCGGTGGCCAGAGGCTGGGAGGACGCACACTGTGTGTGCTGCCAAGACAGGACGGCGCTGGGCCTCTTCTCACCCACACAGAGGAACAGCACCCACCACCTTGATGTGAGGCCTGCCCCACCCTCACAGATACACTCACTTCACACTCTCCTCCTGCTCCCCAAATTCCTCATCATTGAAGCCAAAGTGGTCGATGAAGGCCGAGGTCATGCGCTGCATCTGGAAGTCCATGAAGGCCTGTGGGGGCATGGAGGCAGGGCTGGAGGGAAGCTGAGCAGGGAGAGCCCCGCCCCGTTCCTGCGGCACAGCCCCAGGCCCACCTGCTGCAGCACAGCCTCCTCGGGGAAGTTGAACTCCTTGAGCCGGTCATCCTCGTCGTCACTGGAGGAGTGCAGATGGTGGGTGTTCACCTGGCCAGGACAGGAACAGCGGTCAAGGGCCAAGGGCCAAGAGAGAGAGAAGCACATTCCTGCCAGAAACCTGGGCCTCACCAGGTCCACAGTGTTCCTCTTGTTGGTCTCCGCCAGAGGTCCTGACACAAATGCCTCCCACCGCTCCCGCTGTTCACCTGGCAGTTCTAGACACGTGGGACGGGAGGAGATGGACGGGAGGACGTGAGCAGCCACTCAGACTCCAGCACCCTCCCGCCCCACCGGCTGTCCTGTCCAGCCCGCCTCACCCTTCAGCAGCTGCCCCAGCTGCTCGGCATTGGGCCCCTGCTCTGCATTCTGCACCAGTGCGTTGGCCACCCGTGTCAGGTGGCCCATGTAGCCTTTCCTTGGGCCCCCCCCAGACCTGGATGAGAGCAGAGGACACAGCTGTAGGGTGGGGTGGATGCCAGGGCTGCCGAGCCCCGGGCCTGTCCTCCCCTGCCCTGTCCACCCTGCAGGACAGCAGGAGCTCACTGTACACGGTCGTTCTCCTCCCAGGAGGTCAGGATGCGCTCCACCAGGCGGCAGTGTTGCAGCAGCTGTGAGCAGTGGGGATACGGAGCAGTCAGGGTGGAGCACACTCCACCAGGCCCCAGGCTCGAGTCAGACTGCGAGGGACAGAGGCAGGCCCTGCCTCCTCGGCCTGCCATCCTCTGGCTTTCTCCATGGAGCACAAGACACACATGCACACACTTGTGGACATGCACGTACCCTCAGCCAACCTGGTCATAGGCCTGCCAAGCAGCCTACCCTTGATGCCTGCTGCAGCCAGGCACTCACAAACAGGCAGAAGAAGGGACGGGGCAGGCCTCTGAGGTGCACCCTTGGGGATAGGCCCCCAGAGAGGGAAGCAGGGACCCCGACTCACATGTTTCACCACAGGGTTTGGAGCAGGTGTCTCAGAGCTGCTGTCAGGAGGGGCCCCTGAGCTCAGCATGGCGCTCACACACACCTCCACTTGAGCATGCAGGAAGTTGTTGAAGACATAATGGAAGAAGAGGTCCTGAGGGGTAGAGCACATGCTGGCACCAGAGATGTGTAACCTGCGACCTGGCACTCCCCTGCCCCCAACCCCCTAACCCCCTGTACCAGCATGGTGTTAGGCACGTCCAGTAGCAGGAGCTCCTGTGTCAGGGCAGCATCATTGGCACTCAGGGCACTGGCCAGGAGCTTGACTACGTGCAAACGTGTGTTGCCCAATGGTGGGGCCAGGCTTCCCCATGTCATCCGCAGTGGCTCCAGCTACAGGTGCAAGAGGACACTCAGATCCTGAAGCCACCTTCCCTGCTATCCCATCACCCCTGGATACACAAAAACCCTCACATCCCCCACCTCGGGAGGCTCAAGCAGGAGCTGGTGGAAGCAGCTGAGTCGCGGGCGCAGGGCGTGCAAGGCACCCATGCTGGATGCCATGCTGTCCAGGGCACCCTGGGCCAGGAGCTCTAGCTGGCCATCCACGCTGCTGAAGAAGTTGTTCATGGTCACAGCATCCGACCTGCAGCAGGGGCAGGATCAAGAGCAGAGTGAGCCAGAGGAGCCTGTGCACTCTACACAGGAGAGGGCTCAGTTCCATGTCTGGGAAAGGAGCCAGCCATCATGTGCCCCAGAAGTTGCTCGTCTGGAGCCCTCCTGATGGGCTGGAGAAGATTGTGAGCCTAGTCCAGCCACAGTGTCCACAGTTAACTGGGCACAAGTAAGGGGAAGTGGATAAGGCAGAGCATGGCAGGTGGAGTA